TGTACGGTACAGCAGATATTGGCTGGGGAATTCTGGGAGTTGAAGTCCACCTGTGTTCAAGCTGCCAAGGCTGAGAGACTGATCTGGATGGTACCAAATTGGAAGGGGGGGCAGGTTGAAGAAACCTGTATTGAAAAGCCTACAATGTTAAGTAGGTCTCCATGGCCTCAAGTAAATTTCCATAGTAAATAGTTTAGATAGAATCTGCAAACCTAGATAAGATGGTAGTATAATAGTGGAGATCATCAATATGTGTCACCAACCGAGCCAAATTCACCTGAAACAGCAAGAAAGGTAAGGGCAAAAGCCTGTAAAGTTAGTGGGAGAATATAGTTCTAAATGGGAATCTTGGAATTGGGTGTCCCTCAAAGCGGTTGTGTGCATCTGTCAAGAGAAAAGAAAGGTTCCAAATTCCTTTGGTGCTTAACCTGAAATAACTTACTGACTTGGCATATAATAAAGCAAAGAAAGCTACAGATTATCAACTGGTTTTGGCCTAGATTTCCAGCAAATGTTTCTAAATGCTAAAGCGCATCTAAGGTGGGGTTACAAGAACTGGAAGCATTTAAGATTCCAGAATCCAACCTGGCTCAGTTAAGCATGATCAGAATGGGAAATTTAATGGCGTAGCCAAAGGGGGAGAATGAATGGAGCAGCTGTAGATTCAACTCTTCTAACATCCATAAGCAAGCATGAATCCTTTATTTTGGTAACATTCCAATTTCACAGGCAAGCAGGAAGCATTTAGCATTGCGTCTCTGCATTCAGCTTGTCGTGGAATGTGTGAGCTAGGTCATTTCATGATAAGCACATGGATAGAAGGTGCTTTACCACTGAGTGTTTCAGTGCAGTACATCAATACTTAGAGTGTTTGAAACGCACCAAATAAGACGATTAGAATCAAAAGCCTCAGGATACAGAAATTTGGTGTCTCAATTCCATGCAGCCACAAGTAGGAACAACCCTTTGAAATGGACCTCCAAAATACACTTCAGTAAAGTAATGCAGTTCGAAGCACATGGGAGCAAAAAGGATTTGCAGAGTACAGGAGAGTTCCTCTTAAATACCTTCAAAACCAGGCTATCAATAACAATACCAAGAATCCTCATTTGTATTCATTGCACCCACAATCCTATATTCAATCTGCAATCTGTGTTATGTCAAGTATGTCCTAATTCAGTTATCCGTATCTTATCCAACCTCCAAATTCTGCAATCTCCAAAGCCCTCCTAAGGGCAGATGGCCAGAATGGAAATGAGGGGCCTTCCATTTCCCCATCTCTTCCTGATAAATGTTCTTGCTTTGTTTGCCAGCCCCCAACTTTCTGTACAATGGAAAGGAATGTCATTAACCCAAGGGTAATAGGGTGGTGAACTGCCCAGGTAGCATTTTTCCACCACGCTTATTTCCACCACACCTCCTTTGGATAACGCAGATATCAATCCCATCTTGACCAGAAGAAGAGAGTTTCCAGGTCTAGGCTTTCTCCCAGAGATGGGAATGCGCTAGAGCCATGTTTCTCAACCTTGGCAGCTTTCAGATGTGTGGACTTCAACTCCCAGAATTCCCCAGCCAACCCTGCACCCTATCTTCTCCTCTGCTGAGTGTTAAGACTGATTACATGCTGGCTCTGACATTGAAATCACTTCTCACGTTTGGCATCCTTTGTCTAAAATCCATCTGGTTCAACAAGTCTGGAAAACTTTCGAGTTGCTCTCTATTTAGTGATTAGTCCAAAACCACTGGCTCTGGGAACGGTTGAAATGGCCAGTGCTACTACTTTCTGCAAGTTGAAAAGGTACGTACATGCACGTTTGTTAGCAAAAGATGGGTTGCTTATGGCATGCATACCCCGTGTAGAAGGTAAAGTCCTCAAGCTGGATTTGGTGGTGGTTGCACAGATACAACCAGCCAATGATTTGGACAGCAATATGTGAGGGAGTGACATTAAGATTGCTGTCTGTGCTTGGGAACAGTAGCTGTAGCCAGGCAGAAATGCCTCTGACCCCGTTTCCTTCATTCATTTGTTCATTCATGCACTCACAACTTTACTCACAAGCATCCAAGCTGGCGTTCCAGCTGCCTGTGAGAATTGAGCCACACCCTGGCATTTTGAAGGACATCCAGAGGCACCCTCACCCCACCCAAGCTCTTAACTTACGAAAGCAAACACTGAGTGGGGAAGGTGTGCGTAGGAGAAAAAGTGATAAGAAAAGGGCCTACAGACCAGGAAGCGGAGGCGACATCTGGAGATCAGCAGCTATTACAAGCAGGCAAGAGGACTATCATTCAACTGCCAGGACCACAGGCTACGTTGAGCAGCCAATCCTGGTGGGAGTCCTCTTTGGAGCTTTGCCGGGAACTCAGGGACAGCTAGAAGAAGAAGAACCACATCAAAGCAGCACCTCATCCCAAGTAGAGTAAGAACATTTGGAAGGAGGCAAAGGTTGTTTGCCACATGACAGAT